CTTGTAAATTAAACTGTATCAGTTTTAATTTCTCCTGTGAAATTGATTGAATCGAGTCTGCAACATCTCGTCTGGATTACTAAATTGTTGTAACTCGCATAGAATCGTAGCTTCGACGCACAATTCACAACACTCACTGAACATACTAAACCGACATTTAAAAACTTCGCCGAGACCCTTCTTGTCGGACACGCAGCCGAATTAGAAATCTGCTGGTATAGAAACATACCATTGAAGTTTGAAATATGGTTCAGTTACTGGCAGTTCAGAGAGGCAAATTCTTCATAGATCAGTCTGGTACATTCGTTTTGCTGAATACTACTTAGTAACTTAAAATTCATTGCGTATCTTTTTACTGCTATAAATACACCTCTACCCCTTTCACTCTTATCATCAATGCTATCTCTGCCACATCTATATATTTTAAAAGTATTATTATTTCTCCATCTGTTGTACTGCATTTAAGCCCATATTCGATAACACATAAGATATCATATAAACTGCTCCAAGTCGTAAGATACTGTAGGTAACTTTTCTCCGAATACTCCTGTGTTTTGGTAGCAAACCAAAATAAGTCTATTTTGTTTGCTCTTGAATTTGCGCATAAAATGAATTCTAGGCACACCTGGTTAATATATTTAATTATTTTATTTATTTCACCATTCTCTGTCGCTGATTTAATTCTTTGCGCAATTTTTAAGATGACTTGGCCTGACCGTGCTTGAAATTTATATTTTCAAGTAACTCGTATCTCACTAGTGTAGTTGCAGTAAAGGGCGAAGGTGTTTCTATAAGAATAGGTCTATTTCTGCCATTTGTTGATATTAATTTGTAGATCGTGCGGGATTATTTTTGTTTGGTCATAGTCTGTACTTTCTTCTCTGCTGCTTTTTTTCAATTCAGTAATATTTAAAATTATTGTGTTTATTCGCCTCTTGCGATAATCTATACTTATTACCTGAAGCATGGGTTGATGAAGCTGGATTTGGTTCTGAGACTGAATTTGTTTCAGCCTCCTTAGCATATTCTTGTCCTACAGACTCTAACGTAAAAATTTAATATACATTGAAACATATATATGTACGAGTATATATATATAAATATATATATACAGGGTGGCTGATATGTGTTGCAACAAAGTAAAGCGCTATAACTTTGTCATTTTCATTTTAAATTTCATTGTTCAAAAGCAAAAATATCAGAAATAACATCAAATTTTAGAATTTGTTCATATTTGTTCCAATTGGCCACTTTTGGCACAAATTATGGCCTTCAAACGGCAGAAAAACCATAACACGCTGCACGAAAGTGGCTCTGGGGGTATTTTGGCCCATTCCCGGCGAGGCGCCTTCTTGGGATGATCGACACTTTGGTATTTTTTAGTGCGAACCTTACTCTTCAAAATGTCCAAGACACAAAAGTCCAGCAAATTTAGATCAAGAGATCTTGGTGGCTATTGTGCGATGAAAATGAAGCGAAAAACCTCTTTTATAAGCCATTTTTGGTAGGCGCGTGCTGAGTTTGATGGTGCTGAGTCCTGTTCGAATGACCATGGTCTGCGATCAAAAGTTTTGTCTACCCAGGACTTCAATACTGCCTTTAAGACATTTTCCCGATAATTTCGGCAATTATTTTGATCCCACGGTCGATGAATAAGAGTGGAATGTCACCATCGGCCGTTACGGTGGTTCACACCATTACCGTCGGCGGCGCTCGAGTTCTGGTGGTCAATCGAAGGTGTAAATTTTTAGCTGACCTTTTTGGCAAGTAAACCCTATCATTTTGTTTGTTCACAAACTGCTCGATTTGGAAGGACTTCCCATCTGAGAAAACCAAATTCGGTAACTAGCCACTTTCGTGCAAGCGAAGCAACCCCTTCGCTTCTTTTCGTCTAACTTTTTTTTGTGCATCAATGAGCTCTTGCACTTTTTGGATCTTCAATGGTTTTAGTTCAAGCTCATTTTTCAATATGTGTTGCATCCGTTTTTGCGATATGTTCAGCTCACGGGCCATTTTTTTACCACTGCGACACGAATTTCGATTGATTTTTGCCTATACTTTTTGGATCATTTCTGGGGTTGTTAGTGTTTTTTTTCGTCCACTTTTTGGTCGCGGTGCAACACTGAGTGTATAACCGTTACGAGATATGGTACGAAAAACAAAATATTTGTTCGCATTTAAATACTGGAGGGCTCGAAATATAGCCACCTAAGGTTTTTCAGCCAAGTATGAAGCAATCGCACTATCACGCTTTACTTCCATCACGAATAACTTTTTTTCTGAATGCAATAGATCAAAATGCTTTTGTACGCTTGTAAACAATTAAATAAACAATCACTGGAATAAATCTGTCATCTGTCTGATGAGCGGTTTAGAAATGATAGCGGTCTGAAATTGGTTGCAATACATATCAGCCACCCTGTATATATATATATATATATATATATATATATATATATATATCTTGGTATTGTTTATTTCGACTTTGAAACATAATAATATGATAAGGTTTTTCAGCCACAAATCGAAAAATAAAAACAGAACGTAAATATAAATCTTTTTAATACGTTTCGAGCTATTTTGCTATCTCATCATTCAGCAAACCAGTTTTATAAATTATTAGACATACCAAAATTATTTTATACAAAATTTGACAATTAAAACATAAATCATCTAAACAAATGATACTGCGGCTGACTTGGCAGTACTCCATTCGATCCACCCAATTTTTGAGTACATTTTCGATTGTTTCGGGCATTATCTCAGAAATAGCAGCTTGAATTTCGGTCTTGAGGTCTTGAATTGTTTCTGGATCGTTGGCATAACCGCTCCCCAAAGATAATAATCCAATAGCGTCAAATCGCAGCTTCTTGGTGGCCAATTCACATCAGTCACTCGTGGGCGCAGTGGCTTTCTCTACGACGACGTGCGGGTTTTCTGTGCCCCAGATGCGACAATTTATTAACATAACCATCGAGATGGAAATGAGCTTTAACTTATGTACTGGCAGTTGAAGTTGCTCAACTGCCAGTACATAAGTTAATAAATAAAAACATCACAAAGTGGAACAGCACTTACCAAATGCTTAAAAGACTGCTAAAACAACGACCAGCAATTTCATCTGTTCTCAATGATCGCTCTGTGACAAATTGCTGAGCATGAATGGGCGATAATAGGAATGCTGGCAGTGATCTTAAGACCTTTTGAAATAAGTACCAGCTTGCTCTTGCTTTTCTTTTAAACTATAATTGGCCAAGCTAGAATGATGAAAAATACTTAACACATTTCCAGCTTTCTTTACAATATCATGAATATTACCATTTGAAAAGGCCTTATTAATGCTGGATTAAAGTTGTAGGGTATGTGCAAAACAGGGTATGCTATTACCAAACAAGTTTCTGTTCTTCAAAACAGCCCTTTAATATTTGCAGCATTGTCATGAACAACAGTTCAGTCAATTTACTTTTTCAATTTTCTGAAGTATGCTTCTCAGAAACTTCGACTGTGGATAATGTCATGTTGTTATACTTCCATGTACTGTCTATTACATGACCGTTAAAAGTCATATACGAATTTGCTGACGTTGATGTCCACATATCACTTGTGATTGACACATTTTTTGCTTCAGACAACAAATTCTTAACTTCACTGGTCTTGTTGTCATATAATAATTTTACTCGACTCAAGGCAGTACTTCTTGATGAAATTTTTTATGTAGGTTCGAGAAATTTCATAAATTTCTGGAATTCTTTCAATGCACAAAGCTCAGTGGTAGCAAATCTGTTGAAATCATTTCAGCAAGTAATCATGTGATTTTCTCACTCCTTTCTTCCAAATACCTGCTGCTTCGAAATGCTCCTGTGATTTTTGTCTGCGTCAATGAACTTGTTTGAGAATCGGCTGAAGTGATGCTAATATCATCAGAGTCACTCTGGATCTCTACCTCTTCTTCAACGTTCATTGAACATCTAAAACAGTGAAATATGTTTATTCACTAACATTATTTATGTGTATATGTATATAATGTTAAAAAATTCTAAAGATTGATCAAAGTTGAATAATCAATAGGACCAATGATAGACCATTATAATATAATTAGATATTTAAGTTTTATATTAATTTATATCATTGACATGAAATTAGCAAGTAGGATTTTCTGGTCAAAACGTAAACTCCTACGAGAATTTGCGTTGTGCTATTTATTATAAAAGTATTAGCGACACTATAAAAAGTTTCAGAAACAGTGATTTATGCATTTTGCCTTAGTTATTCAAATCTATATAAGTATTAGTTATTCAAAACTATGAGTATAGTGTTGGATAACTAATGCAACTTCTACAATATTTGGTAGAATTAGTCATACCAACTATGAGTTTCAAAACAATTTGTGAAAAATTTATTATTTCTATCAAGGATTGAAAACTAACACATATAACAAAAAATCTATGCAAAAAGTCGCTGTAATTGGCACTGTGTCTGAATATATGTTAAGCAAAAATATTGTTTTTCATATCACTACATGTTAAATTCGTATAAGCTGATATTAATTCTAATGTGCTCCAAATTAGATTTTATGAAACTTTTATACTTGATTGTGCACTTGATTGCCCCAAAAAGATTCAATTAAATAAAGATTATTAGTAAATGAATTTTGATTATTAGCAAATTATGTGAAATTGATAAATATAAAAAAAAATAATGAAAATAAATTCTGAAAGCATAACATCTAAGCCTGTAAAAAGAATATTTCTCTAGGCAACGTAATCCTGCGGTATATTACGAAAGTTAAGCCCGGTGCACACGACGCCAGTATTTCTAAAAATATAATTTCTGTCTGTAATTTAAATTCTGGCGCGCAAGAATTTAGCGCCTGAATTTCATGCTGTAACATATATGTCTAAATTATTGCATGCGCTATAACCTCAAATGTCAAAATGTCTGACAACGATCGTGTCGAAAGGACTGCAGTTCTTGTCAGTTCTTTAATAATTTTAAAAAAAAGGAAGAAAAGGAAAGACGTAAACGGCTATGGAGTCGTTCTTGGTTGCTGCGGCGTGATCAGCAAACGACTTCCTTAAATATGGTTTTTAATGAACTAGAGTGAGTTAATTTTAATTAGTGAAAGTTGATAAAACGTAATGTTATTGTTATATTTAATGTTTTTAGTGCAGAAGATCCGGCCAGTTTCTCAAATTACACGCGAATGGAAAATGGTATTGGGAATGATTTGTTGGAAATGGTAACACCATATATAAAGAAAGAGGATACAGTTATGAGGCAAGCTATATCACAGAGAGACAGGCTTTGTATTACAATTCGATACTTGGCAACAGGAAATTCATTTAGAGACATAAGTTATTCAACTCGTGTTGCACCTAATACCATATCCCAAATCGTGAGAGAAACTCTTGAAGCAATTATAACCGTTCTTCAAGATAACTTTATAAAATTTCCATCTTCAGCACAAGAATGGGAAGCTGTTGCCCACAAATTTGAAAACAACATGGAATTTTCCTCATTGCATAGGGGCATTGGATGGAAAGCATATCAGATTTCGTCCATCACGAAGTAATGGTTCGAAATTCAGAAATTATAAAGGATATGACAGTATAGTACTTTTAGCTCTTGCCGATGCAGATTATAAATTTTTGTTTGTTTGATGTGGGAAGAAACGGCCGTATGCATGATTCAACCGTCTTTCATACAAGCCTATTAGGCATAAAAATGGATAACAATTCTCTCAATTTGCCTTCTCCTTGCGAGTTAGAATCCTATAACACTAAAATCCCTTATGCGATTGTAGGTGATGATGCCTTCAGCTTAAAAAGAAATTTATTGAAACCATATCCGAATCGAGGTCTCACAATGGAGAAAAGAATTTACAACTATAGATTGAGCCGAGCACGTAGAGTTGTTGAAAACGCTTTTGGTATACTTGTCAACAGATGGAGAATATTGCAAACCACTATACCCCTAGATGTCAAAAAAGTTGAGACTATAACATACACGTGCATATTATTGCACAATTATGTGTTATCAAAAGCTAATGCTCATCAGTGAGAGATGAATATCGAAATGTTAATGATTGTGTTATGAACCATTTAGAAACACAGCTACCCACATCTCAGATGAATATCGAAATGTTAATGATTGTGTTATGAACCATTTAGAAACACAGTACCCACATCTCAGCAAAACTTAGAGCAGAGGTCTAATCGATGCAGCAATGATGCTTTAGAAATCCGTGACAAATTCTGCGATTATTTTAATACAGTAGGAATTGTTCCCTTCCAATATTCTGCTACTGAAAGAGGGCAATAATTAATAAATTCTGTAAAGGCAAATGTTTATATAAATGTTATTAATAATAATATTATTTCTATATTAATTTTCAATAGTGTTTTAATGAGTGGTGAAAATGAAATACTTTATATTCATATTCATTTTTATTCATAAATTAATAATTAAGAACTATATTAATATCATTCAAAATCTTGTGTGTATGCTTCAAATACAATTTGCGAAACCTTGCTAAGTGTCATTGCCCTTCGCTTTTCATTTTTAATTTGTTTTACAAGTGATGCCAGTGAAGAAAAAACTTGGTCCACAGACCCTTCTGGTGTATCTTTAGGTACAAGTGATGCCAGTGAAGAAAAAACTTGGTCCACAGACCCTTCTGGTGTATCTTTAGGTGTTTCGTGTCGCTTTTCCATCGATTCCGCCAGTCCTGTTATAGCACTAGTAAAAATATCATCGTTTTGATGAGTCCTTTCTATTTTTCTTTGGCCTCATTGGTGGTTCGTTGGTATATCCAGCAGAAGTAGAAGGAGCAGATGAAAAAAACTCAAAATTTGATGCTGATGCTGCAGGACCCCTCAATATGGCACAGTCATCCTCCACACCTGGCACTAACATTACATTCAAGTACTCTGCGTATGAGGTGTGTTTCCTGCTCTGGGGTGTTTCCTGCGGTCTGAGAGTGTTTCAATGGAGCTTCTACTTTATTCTCGGTGTGAGAAAATTTTCCAAGAAAGATAGTTGTGAAAAGTACACACAAAAGGGTTTGTAGACCTATAAGGTATATAAGGTGCATTATAGTCAGATGCTGGATATCTAAAGGTAATTACTGAATTAAAAAAAAAAGGAAAAACTTACATTTTCGCTCCCAATGTCCACCCGATGCTCTCTTATTATTCTCGAAGTTGATTGGGTTCTAGGCTTTAAATTTCTTCTGGCATTCATCTCGAGTCGCTGTGGGCCGTATTCTCAACATGAATACGATGTATTCTACTATTCTACACTGTACACAATGGCTAATCACAACATAAACACCGAACACTTGCCAAACCCCAAGGCGACGAATCAAGTACATGTGTTGAATCACGTGGCAAAATACAGCTTTCCTATTGGACACTGAAAGTACTAGCCACCAAATAGTTAATCTGTCGCCGAATAGGACGTGCTCTATTCGTAAAATACGGCAGGAATTTGCGAGGACAGTAGTTGTTATCGAAATCAAATTCCGACGTTGCTAAGGCAACGGTTTTACATAGAAATTATGATGAGTATACCGCCGTTGTGAATAGAGGTCTTAAACGTGAAATCTGGCGGGCAAGATCGCAAATATGTCGCGCAAGATCGTAAATTATGATTTATCATGTCGTTGCTAGAGTAACAACAAACAAAAAAAACTGTCCGGCATGAAAACTGGCGTCGTGTGCACCGGGCTTTAATGTGCAAAAAAAACACAACGCGGCCGGTGTGGAAGCAATGTGCCCATAGATATGAATATGCCTTTATAACTCAACTTCGAGCGTCCTCGATGAACTTCGGCTAGTTTCGTATAGTGTTGTCCGACCTTACGCTAATTCAATGATGTTGTGAATAATAAAGCAATTGCTTGTTTATTGAAGTTATTCTACTAATACGACAACTCAAAAAGTTGCGCGATTTGAATTCCATTTTAATTGAAAAAAAAAATCACTCTTTCATTTAATTATTTCTTTAATTTGATTTAAAAAAATGCAAGCTTTATTTTGCTTCAAATTACCAACTATTATCAAGTTCCAAGATAGTAAAAATTTTGCCAGTGGGCGACTACTGAAGTAATTATCCATGTAATGTTTCAACCGGATTCATTATGCGGTGCCACTAAGTGCCACATATATCCACCAAAATCTAATTCCGGGTTTAATTTAGCGGGTTTGACAGAATATACTAACAATAAGTGAATTTAGTTGTACTTCGTGTTGTGCCATTCAGCGTGAAAACGCGTATAATTATTAAATATTATCACTGAGGAAGTTTAGAAGTATATAAAAGAAACACCAACAACTATATAACAAGAACGTTGAATTTTATTTAATAATATCAGTTACTTTGTAAAACGAAGATAGATTATATGTGTTTTATTCTGAGATGTTATCTTCAAGGCGCCGGCAGTGGAAAGAGCGCGAGATCCCTATCGTCCTCGATCGCTTCGAAGGGCATCGGGAGTCCTCGGAAATCTTCGGGTTTTTGTGTGTTGCCTGCGGTCTAGCGTCCTAGGCACAGAGTTGCGAATATATTCATAAATTCCCCCATATGAAGATTATAGTTTGTTACCGTATTTACCGTATTTAGACATCAATTTCACAATATGGCTAAAACTATAATCTAATAAAAAATTGAAAATGAGAATAAATTTTACTAAAGTAAAAGCAATAGAAAAGTATTTAAATGTTACATAATGTTTCGCTATCTATAAAACACGAAAAATATTAAAATATTATATAATTCAAAAATGTTATGTTTATATCTAAATAGAGAAAATATTAGAATTTTATATAATTAAAAATGTTAAGTTATATCTAAATAGAAAAAAATAAGAAATTTTATATGATTCGAAATGTTACATAAATGGAAAATATTAATTTTATATAATTAAAAATGTTAAGCTTATATCTAAATAGAAAAAATATGAAAATTTTATATGATTCAAAATGTTACATCTAAATATGAAGATATTAAAATTTTATATAATTAAAAATGTTAAGCTTATATCTAAATAGAAAAAATATGAAAATTTATATGATTCAAAATGTTACATCTAAATATGAAGATATTAAAATTTTATATAATTAAAAATGTCATGCTTATACCTAACTGCGAAAATATTGAAACTTTTATATAATTAAAATGTTGAGCTCTAAACCTAAATAGAAAGTATGAAAATTTTATATAATTCAAATTTCAAAACGTTAATTTATATTTCACATTTTTGTATAACCTAATGCATAAAAAAAACTGGATTATAAAACAAAGATTAAATATTAAAATAAATGTAATAAAAATAAAATTGGTGGAAGAATGAAATAAAATTAATTTATTGTATGAAAGGTTTCAATGGTTGACGTGGACTTTCACAGATTTCCTACCACAAAGTAGAGTGTAGTTTACCGGTGAATCTTTTGCAGTTATTTAATAAGGACCTATCCACGGCATGATTAATTTTTTTGATTTCCTTTACAAATTTGTTCATTCTTAAGCCAAACCATTTCACCAATATTGAACTCAGTTTTTTTTCACGGGCAATTAAATTGGTAGATTGGATTCTATGAGTCAGCTCATTAGCATAATCATCATAGGTATAATTATTGTCAGGAGGTTTATTTAAGGAAGAAGGAAGTTCTGGATTATGACCGAAAAGTAATCTGAAGGGACTAAATCCCGTAGCACTATGAGGAGTTGTATTATAAGTAAAAATTGCGTATGGCAACCAAGTATCCCAGTCTGATTGATCTGGTTTAATAAAATTTCTAATATATTCGATTAGTGTTCTGTGTGATCTCTCTAATGAACCATTTGACTGAGGATGGTATGCCGTTGTCTGTATCTTTGATATTTTGAGAATTTTGCATATATTTTTGAAAAGATTACTTAAAAATTTGTACCTTGATCGGTCAATAATATATTAGGAATACCGTAATGGCAAATAATGTCTTCAACAAAAGCGCGAGCAACAGTCTCGGCATCTTGATTTTTAATTGGAGTGGCTCTGCTAAATTTAGTCAGGAGATCTTCAAAGTAAGGATATATTTATGTAATCTAGGAGTTTCGGATAAGGGACCAACAATGTCAAGGGAACATTTTTCAAATGGTTTGTGAGGAGTATCAGTAATTATCATAGGAAATTTATTTAGGTGATAGCTTTTGTTCCGCTGGCAGATCTCGCATTTCCTAATAAACTCGTGAAGATCTCGCCGAAGTTTGGACCAATTATAATTGACTAAAATGCGCTTTAATGTACGTTTGTACCCTTGGTGGCCACCCAGTGGTTTTACATGATATTCGCTAAACAGTGTGAATTTCTCGTCTTTTGTTAATAGATTGTCTAAATGGTAGTCATGTAAATAAATTTTTGTCTGAATTTTTAAATATATACCTTAACATAGCTCGTATTTCGGATGAATCTAAGTTATCAGTTTGATTAATTATAGGTGGAAACGATAGTTCCTTAATATCTAATGGTAGTACTAAATTTCTTAAATTGATTAAAGTCTTAAATAAAATTTCATTAGAAGTGAGATCCAT